CGGAAAGCAAGGAGATCCGGAATCATCCGGATCTCGGGGGGTAGTTCGTTCCAGAGGGTAGGGGCACCCACAGAGAAGGCCCTCCCCCTGGGGGTCGCCAGCCGACATTGCTTGGCCGACGGCACCCTGAGGAGGCCCACTCTGTGGGAGCGTACCGGTCTGAGGGAGGGGATCTGCGGCAGAAGGCGGTCTCGGAGACCGCCTTTGTTGCTGCAGACAACTTTCAATCACTGCTGACAAGGAGACCAAACCTTAACCATTGCCATTGTTCAGTAATTAAAATGTATGACCTGTTTTTTTTTTAAAAAGCATGTTGACAAAAGAGGTTCTGGGCAATGTGCAAGCGTGTGCATGAAATTCTGAAACAGTGGCATAAGCCTCAAAAAGGACACGATGGCTGTATTAATTTCCAATAAGTATTTTGCATGTTTTTGGTTTACTAATTACAATTATGTGGCCTTTGAGCAAAAAAAGAGATTAAAAGGAAACACTCGTTTTAGAAACCTGGCGTGGACTATGCCTAAGCATCTCAGCCAACCAAGCACATTGTCTTTTGAGGGAATTTTTTCCCCAGACTTGTGCCAGGCTCATCATCCTGTTTAGTAGCATGACCCAGAGTCTTACGGTGAATATGATACTTCTAGTACCTCTGAACCCTTTAACTCTTATATCATTTACTCTCCAAAGGAAGGGCAAACAATATTTTTTAGAAGGCAACTATGGTTGTCTGAATTATACAGGTAGATCTTGAGATGCCTAGTTCTCTCCTGCCCTCTAGTGGGCTTATTTACAAATTTATATACATTCAAAGATTTCATAGGTACTAAAATGATCCCTCCCCTTATGTTCTACAATGAAGCTAATGTATGAATTGTGGCAGCCATTTCCATACCGCAGAACCAACTCCATCCAGAATCACAACACTAAGATTTGAAAGTGACAAAGGTATTGGATTCTGATGTCAATTCTATCTATGACCATTCAAAAAAGTACAGACACTCTTCTTTAGCAACCACAATTGGCATTAGCAACTGTTATCAAGATAAGTGAAACTGCAACTGTGCTTACTTCAGCTTTCCTTTGCTTTGCACACCCGCTAAGGTCGTAAATGTGAGGACTGATTGTAAAGTTGCTTTTCCATCACTGTGATATTTGCAAATAGTCACTAAACAAGGGCTACCTGCAACTCCCATTGAGTGTACAGGCTTATTCTCAGCAAAGTAAAATATAGGGTTGCTACTGTATGTTAATTATCTTGTTACAATGCAACACAACTGTTAACCTTGTTCATTTATTTAACTCTGGAATGTTTATGGTGAAAACTGATTAAAGGGACACAGTGGTAGTCTTGAGTTTGCTCTATTACCGTAGAGGAAAACATCCAAGATGCAGGCACCATCAGTAGAATCCCTTTAATAAGGTATTCCAGGCTCCCACTTTTATTATCTTTCCTGCACATAAGGCGTTTATATTCTGCCACTCTTTTCAATATATTAATATGCCATATTAATATGTTGCAACAGAAGCCTTAAAATAATACGTCGTTGCAAGGTTTATTTTTTAGGTTAAGTATTTTTAGCTATTTTTAAATGATTTAAGCATTTTTAAATGATTTCATTTATTTAAATTAAATAGTAAATATTAATAACATTATTAAATTGTTATTGAATCAGTTTTATTAAAATTATTAAATTTTATTACAATAGTACATATTTAATAATATTAATATTAAATAAAATATTAAATATTTTAAATGATTTCATTCTTTGACGAAGTGACTAAATTAATAGACCAGCAAAATGCTCAGGCCATAGTATACGTCAGGCATGTGAAACTGCCAGCCCGCAGGCCGGATGCGTCACGCGGAAACCGTGACCACCCCATTGCCGGCAATGGGGGAAAAGTCCCAATACGTCGCACGATGTCACGTGACGTCGCGAGTTTGACATGCCTAGTATACGTAGACTTCAGCAAGGGATTCGACAAAGTAGACTACAACCTACTTCTTGATAAATTAGAAATATGTGTGATAGTCAGCATTGCCACCAGAATGATTTGTAACTGGCTAACAAACTATACTCAATGAGTAGTCCTCAACAGCACTACATCCACATGGAGAGAAGTAAGCAGTGGGGTACCACAGGATTCCATCTTAGGCCTAGTACTCTTCAATATGTTCATGACTTAGATGAGGGAATAGAAGGGAATCTGATCAAATTTGCAGATGACACTAAGCTGGCAAGAGTAGCCAACACCCAGAAGACAAGCTCAGGATCCAAACAGATCCTGACAGACTTGAACAATGAACCCTATCCAACAACATGAAATGTAATGTAGAGAAAAGCAAGGTTTTACACCTAGGCAGGAAAAATCAAAGATACAAGTACAGATTAGGCAAAACCTGGCTCAAAAATAGTAACTGCGAGAGGGACCTTGGAGTCCTAGTGGACGATCACTTAAACATGAGCCAGCAGTGTGTGGCAGCAGCCAAGAAAACTAACACAATCCTTGGTTGTATAAACACAGGCACAGAATCAAAATCACGTGAAATATCAATACCGCTTTATAAATTCTTAGAAGGATCACATCTGGAATATTGCATCCAGTTTTGGTCACCATATTACAAAAAAGATGTTGAGACTTTGATAAAGTACAAAGAAGAGCAACTAAGATTATTAAAGGCCTGCTTGAGCAACGGGTTGGACTAGAACAGTGGTGGCGAACCTATGCCACTGGTGCCAGAGGTGTCACTCGGAGCTCTGTGCGCACACGTGCCGTTGCCCCAGCCTTGCCTCCCCCCGCGACCCCCTCACCAGCAGCCCTCCTGGAGAGTTGCCCCCAAGCGGAGCAACGCAGCCAAGGACATGGTAGCCAGGCAGCGTAGACAAGACTCTGCCCTCACGCCCCATCGCGCAGTTGATGCTGCAGGGCGCGGGGAGAGGGCGTGGCCGCCATGGCACTGCTGGGCTGCCTGGGCGATCTGCGGCGGGCCCTAGAGGCGGTGAGTGGCCCTGTGGGCAGGTGGGGTGAGGGCAGGGCAGGGGGTGGAGCAGGAGCGGGGCCAGTTTTTGGGCACTCGGTCGCTAAAAGGTTCACCATCACTGGACTAGAAGATCCATACCCATACCCTTCCCAACCCATGTGGCACCAATAGGGCAACCCCACATACCATTCCTGACCCACATCTTGTTCACCCCATTGCATCCTCCCCTACCCAGCAGCAGACACTTAACTGCCTGTTGGCCTTGGCCTTGCTGGCTTCCACATTTTCTCGCTGCAGGCTTCCCATAAACAAAGTAAATGGAGAAACCAGTAGGAATTCAAAGGAGGGAGGAAGAAAAGAAGGCAGATTCCTGATGCTCTCTGCCAGAGAAATCTTGGAAACATAACATCTTCACAGTACACTAGAACTGATTTTGAACCTTTGCACAGCTATTCCTCTACACATATTCTTCCTTTTAAAATGACAATCTGCATTTCTTTCACCTTTTTGAAGTGTGAAGTATTTTCAGCAAATATAGCAAAAAAATAATAATAGAAGGACACACAAGGACACCTGGATACCATTTATTTTTCACTTCAATTCAGAATTTTATCTCCAGTGACTATAGTAATTCATGTTAAAGTCCTTAATTATTCTACCTTTTGATAAGCCCACCTCATTAAAGACATACTATAATTTGTCTATGTGATACTGTCATGAAGTTAATTCAGACCGAGAACAAGGAGCAGAATGTTTTGGAAAATCTATACAAAATTAGTGTCAATACAATCAAGTTTATATCATGAACGTGCATATACATATTTTGTTTTTAGTTATGGAGAGTAACAATTGCATTCCTTTAGCTGTAATGCATTTCAGTAGGGTTACATATTTTAAAAATTAGCTTGTCCACATGAAGGTCTATTGTTTTGCATATGCCTTATGCTTCTCACTTGTTCAGAAACTATTAACACCTACGTGTTTTCCATGGGAAATTTTGATTCCAAAATGACAATAGTACATACACAAACAGTTATGGGAAATGGCACTGATTTTTAATCAAGTGTAGAGCAGCTTTGGCAACATCTTCTTCAGAAGGATTGGCATCAAGGATTTGACATGCTGGATTTTCCATTCTTCTGTAAGACTCTTCAACTCTATTTTTAAAAAAATCATAGCATTATCAAATGTAGACAGATTAAGGATTCATACTAAGAGCCAACAGCAAAATGTGTAGTGTATGATATGTCAGAAGCTATGAATTGTGGTTTAAATACTGCACTGGAAGGGTTATGGAGCACAATTATACCTCACACAGCATCTGCTGGGATTCTGTATAAATGAGGCATAGAATCCTCCCCTTAGTGTGACTGCAGTGTCCCACATCAAACTGTAGATCACATCATGACCGGTTGTAAGCTGAGGGCATATACTCGTCTGTTATCTAATTTTTTAAAATATAAATGATGCTGCGTTTCAATGGCTGTTAGATGGCCTAGACCAGACATGTCAAACTTGCGACGTCACATGACGTTGCGCGATGTATCGGAGCTTTTTCCCCATTGCTGGCAATGGGGTGGGCGCAGTTTCGTTGTGGCAACTTGACAGCCCTGGCCTAGACATTTGGTATTTGAACATAGACCTTTTTAACATGTATATTTTATTGTGTTTACTAATCTAGGTGAAATGTTAATATATATATTGCTACTCCATGTAAAATGCCGATGATAGATAGATAGATAGATAGATAGATAGATAGATAGATAGAGAAAGAAAGAAAGAAAGAAAGAAAGAAAGAAAGAAAGAAAGAAAGAAAGAAAGAAAGAAAGAAAGAAAGAAAGAAAGAAAGAAAGAAAGTCTAGTTTAATGAAAAGAAGGACTGGGGGTGACATGATAGCAGTGTTCCAATATCTCACGAAGAAAACAGAGTCAAGCTATTCTCCAAAGCACCTGAAGGCAGGACAAGAAGCAACGGATGGAAACTAATCAAGAAGAGAAGCAACCTAGAACTAAGAAGAAATTTCCTGACAGTTAGAACAATTAATCAGTGGAACAACCTGCCTCCAGAAGCTATGAATGCTCCAACACTGGAAGTTTTTAAAAAGGGATTGGACAACCATTTGTCTGAAATGGTATAGGATTTCCTGCCTGAGCAGGGGGTTGGACTAGATGACCTCCAAGGTGCCTTCCAACTCTGTTATCCTATCCTATCCTATCCTATCCTAAATAAATAACCTGGTACTATAGGACCCGACCCAAGGCAGCAGACCCTGAAAAATGCAATGTCACACACATAGACCATCCTTTCTAAAGGGTCTTTTCATCCACAAATACCAGTGCATAACTCTCTTCCCCAAGATATTCATAATTAATTTCCCATAATTAATTAAACCCCATTACACTTTTTTCCTTAACATAAAAACGGCAAGATTTTCACAGTTGTGCTAATAAGGAATACAGTGGCACCCTGTTTTGCATTTTAGGACATACTTTTGACGGAAGACATCATTCACTTCCAAATCAACCTCTTCTCTTGTTTTCTCGATCCCACGTCCCTGTAGCCTCCGGACTCTTTCTTCAGGACTAACAGTCAACAGCAAGACAATGTCTGGACTCAGAAGATCATCAGGCCAGTGATACACCAGGTGCTTAGGTGGAGGAAGATTCTGCACGTCCCCAGTTATTTCAGTTGCTACTGCGTATGCTGCAGTGCTGTGCCAGTATCTGTCCAAACAAAGGCATTAGTGTGAGTTTCAGATCTATCATTCTTTGCTTCTAGAACCACTGGTTTTTTTTCTGCCTCCCTCAAAATGGTCATGGGCAGGGGTAGGCAACCTTGGCTCTTTTATGACTCGTGGACTTCAACTCCCAGAATTCCACAGCCAGCATTGCTGAGGGGAAAGGGAGAGGTTTCCAAGCTGAGCCATGCTGGCTGTGGAATTCTGGGAGTTGAAGTCCACGAGTCATAAAAGAGCCAAGGTTGCCTCCCCCTGGTCATGGGGAAGGGTGGGCTCTCTCTTATGGAATGTCATCTTCAGGGATCAGGGGGCAAGCCTTCTCAGCTGCAGCTCCACTTCTCTGGAACAGCATTCCAAACGCCAGAACTCGCGCTACTCGCTTCTCCGAAAAGCTAATAAAACTAGCTTTCCTGGAGTCCTTACAATGAGGGGGAAGCCTCCTGTTGCATTGTGGCTGTAATGTGAGACATTGATATTTTACTGTTGCATTTTTGTAAGCTGCCTTGATCAGTATGTAAATTTTAACAAGTATACAAATATTTTCTTTCTCTTGATCTGGATGGTTTTAAGGAATTTAAAATGTTGTCAGAAGTGACAAAAGATAGTGGTACAGGTACTTTTCTTTAGACTGCAGGATGAACACCAGCCTCAAACTCAATACAATCCATAAATATGAAAAAAAATCCTTTAAAATGTTCATTTTCTGAGATTTTAGAAAATCCATTTTCCTTCTAATATTAAGTTACATGAATATAATGTGGTATATGTGTGATACACACACAGAAAGAAACACATTACATAAAGATCAGAATTAGTCATCCTGAGTGAGCAAGACTGAAGAAGAGGCTTTAAGTCCTCTAGTCTAGTACCTCTGTTACTGTATTTAACTAGTCACTCCCAAACTCTCCAAGCAGCTGATAAACAAATATCACATTAAAACACATTCTTACAATTCACACATTTCTTTGTTTTGCTAACTTAAAGGATGAGACATTATGTGGTTCACTAATTTTGGGAAATTAAAGTACTGAAAGATCAGGCAAGGTATTTTTACCAATCTGTATCTTACTCATATGAATGCCAATATAACACTAATACCAAACTATACATATATATAGTTACCCTATTTATGACTGATGAAAAAAGTAATTTGGATGGCTGATATATTTTAGAAATAAACTGAACTCTGCATTCTCAAATGAGGTCTAGGAATTTTCTACTTTAAAAATAATTTAATTTTTTTAAGACTGCAAAGGAGCCAAATTCAAGGTATCAGCTTAAGAACCATTATATCCCTAATACATTTTTGTAGCACAGATATGGCAGTCACAGCATCCATTATATCACTGGTTGCTTTGGAAGCTCCTCAGTTTCATTCAACAGAGATGGGAACACAAATTAAAAGCACAAATACCAGTCCTTTTCACCAATCAGAAAAGTCCATCGTTGTTTTGATCCCATTAATTGAAAATTAAGAGTGATACTTTTCTGCTACTGCCATCATCAGATTGTCATCAGATCATCCTCATCATCTAGCCTTTTTTTTTTTGGAGGGGGGGGTGCTTTCAATTACTTCTGACTTCAGAGGATTGCCCCTAGATTATTCTCTGCAGTTTCCTTGGCAAGGTTTTTTCAGAAGTGGTTTGCCATTATCTTTTTCTAACATATGCATAGCCACTGATTATTACGAAAGTTCAGAACTGTAATACATTAAAATAACCACAGAAAATGGATAATTATAATAATAATTCATGATAACTTCCTATTTCTACCTTTCATAAAATACTGGAAACACAACTTGTAAAATTAGCGATTTTTTTCAATGAAGACCCTTTATTTTTGTTGAGTCCTTGAGGCTTTTTGAGCTTGGTTGTTTTCTTGCAGACATTTCAATACCCAACTATGTAACATCATCTCTGCAAGTAAATGTGGGGTTTGCTCCCTGTTTATATGGAGTAATTTGTCCAGCCAGTTTTGAAACATCTGCAAGCAAACAACCAAGCTCAAAGAGTCCCAAAGACACCACAGGCCATCTCTGAGCTACATTTTCTTCTACTGGAAACACTTAATTTTTTTTGCAAACCTGTCTAGAATCACCGGTGACTTAGAGGATTCTTCAGCTATTTCGGAAGCCACAATGTAGTTAGTCAGTGCATAGAATGCTCTCCGTATGAGTGGTGGTTCATCATCAAAAATCTTCCGCCACTGGCTAACACAAGATGGAGGAGTCCTCAAGAGCACAGCGTTCAATGAGTCTTTCAAAAAACGAGTCACTGTTGTTTTGCCTACGTGTGGTACAGGAAGGAAAGTTGCCCTTCGTTATGACACAGCCCGTGGATTGATCAAGTTTGCAAGAATTTAGATTAGATTGTTGGTATCATAGGCAATAGCCCATGTTTGGATCATTCCCTGTCTTATTTGCAGATAAGGCAGTTTTGTGGAGAGGTTATGACAACTGGAACTCTGAAGCTGATGGTCGCTTAAGAAAACAACTATCAGCCATTCTCTTGGTAGAGCCGTGGTGGCGCAGTGGTTAGATTGCTGTATTGCAGGCTAATTCTGCCAACTGCCAGCAGTTCAATCCTGACCCACTCAAGGCTGACTCTGCCTTCCATCCTCTTGAAGTCGGTAAAATGAGGACCCAGATTGTTGGGGGCAATATGTTGACTCTGTAAACTGCTTAGAGAGGGCTGTAAAGCACTGTGAAGCGGTATATAAGTCTAAGTGCTATTGCTAGTTGCTGTGACTTGAAAGAACAAGAGTTGAATCCTTAAACTGCTCCAGGATGGAATCCCCCTACTTCCTTAGTAACACTACCTCATACCTGCCACCAATCCTGCTATGAAGAGATATCATGAAGGCAAGAAGCAACTTTCTTGTACCTGAATGAACTGGGATTAAAATACCACAGAATCTAAGCTTCACAACCCTGTGTCCTTATGCTATGTTGGCCTACAATTCCTATGATCCTCACAAGAATGGCAAGGGGAATCTGAGGGAGGTAGAAAGATGGATCTGCAGGCTATATTTGATCCACACACTATCAGCTACCCAACCCTGCCATATGACAAAGATTTTGGTTTTCACTAGTCCTCAAATTACTATCAATCATACTTCACTTCCATTTAATTGTTGCCATTTTATTTTCTTGCTCCTTTGGACACTCTAATGACCTCCAAAATAACTACTCACCTGCAAACAATTCTGGGCAGTATGTCCCTTGCATGCCTTACAGTATTGATTTATTACTACGATGCAACTACAATTTACAAAAAAGGGATTTAAAATTCTCCTGGTAAAACTGTTCTAAAGGCAGTGGTGAAAAAGGAAACAATTACATATAGTAGCTAAACTGCTGGTATTTTTCAATGGAAAGAATTATTTCTTTAAAAAGTAAAGCCAATGTATTCTATTTAGAAATTGAGATCCTATTCATCAGCATCTGCAAAAAATTAGGATTGCATGCCAGATTGTCAATCCACATACCCCTTAGGAAGATATAGTTACGTTAAAAAAAAAGTGACACTCCAGCCCTTCCCCTCAGCTGGAGACAGAAAATAATTGGTCTTTTTAGACAAAGGGAAGAACTCCAGTAGTTGACTGAAAGCTGGAAAAAGCATGGGGCTACCAACCTTTCCCCCAGCTTTTGATTTTTAAGAGGCTTCTGAGTGCTATTTAAAGTAGCTGTACTAAACTATAAAATCTTAACAGTTATCATGGACCGTGTGAATGATCTTGAGGAAAGAGGGGAAGAGATGCTGCCTAGGAAACAATCAGACAAGAGAACATGTTAATGTATTCACTTGTCTACTCTTAACCTTGGGGTTTTTTTTAAATTATTTTAAGATGTTGCACAAACCTTAACCTGTTTGCTTTCAGTTCAGTGTGCTATGCAAACCCACAAAGTAAGTGGACTTGATAGCATATGAAATGTATCAGTCAAAGAAAAGCCTAAGCTTTCATAAAAAAAATATTTAATGTCTTTTTTTCCTTACCTGTTGCATCTAGTCCTTCAATAACTATTACAGGAAAATTTCCTTTCTTGGGATGTTTAGGACACTTATCCACAAGTTCTAGAATCAGTCTAGATTCAGGAATTATTGAAGTGCACTGTAACGAGAAAATACATTGATTTTGAAGGACTAGAAGCAGGACCTGAGGCACAATGCTTGTGATGTCCACTTGAAGTGCCAGTTAGACTAGAGAACAGGGCTCCTGCATCCTAAGCAACATTTGTGTCACCTGAAAGAAATTCAGCTGACATTTACAAGAGATAGATGCTGAAATCTCTGTCTTCCACGTAAGAGCTGTATCTTTGCCATTCAAAGGTAGCTCATAGGAAAATGACACTTAAAAGACTAAAGTCTGATTGGCATAATTTAAAAGATATTGTGCGATTAAACATGTACATTTTACAAGATTCTTTGGAATATGTATCCATGCCCACCTTTATCCATATTTTCTTCAAGAAAACATACATAATCCCTGTTCAAGACACTACGGAGTACGAACAGAATGCAGATAACAAAAAACTAAGTTTGAACAACACAGTGTCATATTTTGCATACTGATACTGTACACAATTTACATTCTCCGCCAGGATTTTTCATACATTTTCCATTCAGATTTTATTATTCAAAAACAAAAATGAAAAGGCCTTGTTAAAGTATACTTCTACTCCAACTATTTTAATAATATACAAAAACCTGGCAATTACCATAGTCTGGCTCAAATGAAGCTTTTGAGAGGATACAACTTTTAGAGAATAAAATATTTCTATAGCAGTAGGGAACCTCTCAATAAAGACTTACAGTAATGAATAAGTGACAAGTTGCAATTATTTTTTTTAATTATTAAATTTCTATTGGACAATAAGGATATTAGACTTTCAGAAATTCAGTATTATGCTAATTTTGAGAACTTAATAATTATACAGAACAAATCTCAAAACTTAATAGGTTACTATTGAAGTTAGAAACAAGAGAGCCACCTCTTCCTCTTAAAGGAAGCTTCGGATACACATTTTGGTAAACTCATTCAGGAGATAAATTGGCAGGTATTGTGGAAATCAGGTTGATTCACCTCAGCTTCAATGCAAGAAATTCTGTGGAAAATTTTACATCACTGGCACTTGATTTTAGGCAGATTGGCACACGCACATCATAATTAGTCTTCCAAATATTTAAGTTGTCTTTACTTCATTTGTACTAGTTATGCAATAGTTATATATCATTTTGGAGTAAAAGTTTGGGGGAGACAAAATCATTATTTAAAAAGAATTGAATACTACCCAGAGTTACTGAATCTATTTTTGAGACTAAATAAAAATGAGAAATGTATAATCTACTTATTTTTAGCAGCTAAAATAATTGTCCAATATTGGGAAAAAAATAGATAATTGAATAATTGAGGTGTGGATTAACAAGACCTCTTCAATTGCCATGTTATCAAAGATTATAAATATAGTGAAAACACACCAGACATAGGAACTACAATTCTATGACATTTGGTGAACATTATATTTTATTTCATATGCAGTAAAGCTTAAGATTTGTTAACTATAAACATATATATTGTCTATCTTGGTAGCAGATTTTTAAATAAGCTTATACATGTCTTTTCTTCAAATAGACATGAATCAATCAATCCAGGTGAAAGTAATATATTTTGGGGGGGGTATTTCATTTCTTCTGCCTTTGAATACGTTTTTGGCTGCTGGCAATGGCCAGAACAAGTCCCTGCAACTTATTTGGCAACATTTTAGAAATGGTTTGCCCTTGCCTCCTTTCCAGGGCTGAGAAAATGTGACTATCCCAAAGTCATCCAGCTAGTAGAATAAACTAGAACTCACAGTCTTCTGGTGTCCAGCCTGATATCTTTACCACTACAGGTTGTCCTTGCCTTACGACCACAATGGAGCTAGCCTATTACAGCTGTAAGTCATGATGGATGTAAAGCAGGTCATCACATGGTCATCAACCCAATTTTATGACCTTTTTTAATGGCAGTCATTAAGCAACTACTGTGGCCATAAAGTAACTACCATGGCCATTAGACAACTTCCACAAATTAAGCAAACATATTGATTGCTATGAGGAATTTTTGTGTAAAATTGGAAGTAAAAAATGGTTTTCATAAAAAATATTGTAAAGTGATTGCAGGACATTGCAAATGGTTATAAATGTGGGCCAGTTGCTAAGCACTCAAAATGCGGGTGAAATTGAGAGGGAGCAGCCTCGGAACTGGATCATTCATATCTTTTGGTGACCCATCATAACTTCAAATGGGCGCTAAACAACCAGTCATAAGTCAAGGACAACCTATACATCAAACTGGCTCTCATAATGTATTGTGCAGCATAACAAAAGTCAATTAACCCAAGCAATGAAGGAGAATATTTGTAGCTCAGGATTGAAATGAGGGGTCCTTGGTGCTCTCTGAGCTTGCTTGTTTTCTTGCAGATGTTTCATTACCTAACTAGGTAATATCATCAGTGCTGATGAAGTTACCTAGTTAAGGTAATGAAACATCTGCAAGAAAACAAGCAAGCTCAGAGAGCACCAAGGACCCCTTAACCCAGGGGTGTCAAACTCGCAACGTCACCTGACGTGTCGTGACATATTGCGACTTTTTTTGCCATTGCCGGCAATGGGGTGGGTGCGGTTTTGCTATAATGCATCCGGCCTGCAGTTTGACATCCCTGCTTTAACCCAAGCAACTAAAACCAAAAGAGACAGCTTACAACAGCCAGAGCGGGTCACGCTGTGACTAAGCCTATTTTTGTGGCAGTTATTAAGCGAATGCCACAGTCCTTAAGAGAACTAGTTGTTTGCTGTGTGTTGGGTTTGCTGAAAACATGAAGTAAATAAGTTTTTGGTTTTAAAAAACGTCATAAAAAGCAGTCATGTAACCACAGGACACTGAAAAAAGCTATAAATGCAGGGCCATTGCTCAGCTCATTCTCCTGGAGAAGGCCTTTGTAATTTTGACCGGTTGCTAAGCAACCAGTCATAAGTCGAGGACTACTTGTATGCTCCAGATGTGAAGGCCCAAGAAATGAAAAGCTTCTTGGAGAAACCATGACAACTTTTGACCCAGTTAGTCTGATTGCCGCTACCACTGCCACAATTAAGGCAATTTAACTGGACTATTATGCCTCTTGCAGGCACAGACACATGTAGGCCACAAAGTCTATTTAACACAAGACCCAAATCCTTCAGCTTATCAACCCCCTTCAGGAATTTTAGATGGTTCATCAGGTCCCAAACATTATATGAAAATAATTTAATAAATACTACTTTTAATAAATACTATGAATAATAATATTGATTCTTGATTATTGATACTGTATTTACCACTATGGGGAACTTTTGATTTATCACCTCATCATGCTGTCTGAGGAATTCTGGGAGTTGAAATCCAGCCATCATAAACTTACCAAGTTTGTGAAACGTTGACCTAGTCCTAGATCAGGGGTCTTCAAACTCGGGCCTTTTATGATTCATGGACTTCAACTCCCAGCACGCTGGCTGAGGAATTCTGGGAGTTGAAGTCCATGAGTCATAAAAGGGTCGAGTTTGAAGACCCCTGTCCTAGATGATCTGAGTCTTCCTTTTTCCAATTTATAATTTATCTTGTGGCTGCAACATCAAACTTACTTTATCATCATCTCCCCCCAACACACAAAGTTCTGGAAATGTGAAAAAAAGGGCTCTCCTGTTGGTGCCATTACTGATTAGACCAGGGGTATCCAACCTTGGCAACTTTAAGTCTTGTAGACTTCAACTCCCAGAATTCCTCAGCCAGCCATGCTGATTGGGGAACTCTGGGAGTTGAAGTCCACAGGTCTTAAAGTTGCCAAGGTTGGACACCCTTGGTTTAGACCCAGCAAAGTTGTTTCTCCTGTATGATCTCCTAATCCTATCAAACCTCCTCCATCACTCTATCCACAGAAGCCACCTGGTCACTATCTAGCTTTTCCTTGCCCAGTGACACCCTTCCTCGGTCTGTATACAGATAGTCCTCAACTTATGACCAAACTTTTTGTTGCTAAGCAGGTCAGTTGTTAAGTGAGTTTTGCCCAATTTTATGACCTTTCTTGCCACAGTTGTAAAGTGATTCATTGTAGTTGTTAAGTTAGTAGAAGGGTTGTAAAGTGAATCTGGCTTCCCCATTGACTTTCTTTGTCAGACGGTTGCAAAAAGTGGTCACATGAACTCGGGACACAGCAACCGTCATAAATATGAACCAGTTGCCAAGCCTCTGAATTTTGATCCCGTAGCCATGGGTCACGGTCGTAAGTGTGAAACATGGTCAAAAGTCACTCTTTTCAGTGCCGTTGTAACTCTGAACGGTCACTAAATGAACTGTTGTAAGTCGAGGACTACCTGAAAAGGACTACTACGTCCTGAAAAGGAGGCCTGGTTCTGCCGAACTCCGGTTTATCCCAACACTTACTTCCTCCAGCACTTGTCGGGCAGCTTCCCGGGACCTGAAGACGGTGTTGCCGAGAAGGTGAGGAACGGCAGGGTGGAATTCCGGTTCTTCCGCGGCCACCACATTACCTCTGCCCAGCAGCTCTTTCTCCTTTCCTGCCCCCTTAAGACCCCACAAGGCGCAGCAGAGCTTGCCGCTCTCGGCTTGCTCGTACACAGCAAGGCGGGCCGGCGCTGGGAGCAGGACTCCCAAGAGCTCTTCCAAAAAGGCCCGCGTCTCCGGCAGGCCCTGCTCGTCCTGAACCAAGAAGCCCTTCTCCAGCGCCGCGCCGCCAGGGCTGTAGGAGAGGAGCGGCAGGACTCTGCCCCGAGCGCCCCAAGGCGCCTGCTCGAGTCGGCGCTGCAAAGTGCTCTGCAGCCGGGCCGCCCGGACGCGCTCCCGCGGGGTTGGCGCCAAGGGGATGCCGAAGGAATAGCATCTGCCTAGAGGAGGCAGAAAGCACCGGGGCCGCGCGCGGGTGGCTGGCTGCCCGCCGGCGCTGCTCAGGGCGAAAAAGTCTACCTCCTCGCCTGCCGATTCGACCACGAAGGAGCGCTCAAGCCAGCCCGCTTGGTTTGCAGAGAGCAACTTGTCCATGGTTAAACGCAGCAACCGGGGGGACCCAGCGGCGCTGCGCGGCAACATGAACGCACCGGGGAGACACGAAACTGGGAGCGCCTTAAGAAGCCGCCCAGGGCCCGGCCCATTCGGGAACGGGAAACCAAAACCGACGGCTGTGTTATCGCAGGAGGAGAGGCTTGTCGGAGAAACGAAAGCGAACATCCGCGCCGCTTGCCTCTCTTTTGCGTAGCAAAACAAAACTTACCCGAGAGGAAGTTAGGATTCAAGAAACCGTGTCAAGAGTCATATGAGCTGTGTGTCAAAAGTCATTCGGGAAATACGAAAAGGGAAACCGAGACCGAAATTGGGAAACGAAGCCGATAACTTTCACGAAAGGGAAAGTTTACAGAGAGAGCTGAGTACACAGGCAAAGCCCCTCTGATAAATTTGCCATTGATTTATTTTGAAGAGAGAGCGAAAAGTTTGGGATTCAAAAGTAAATGCAAGTAAATCTTAGGTGAATGAGCTTGGGAGAGGGCACGTTGCTTGCTGATTTTTGCGCATCGGATTAACATTTGTATCTTCTGGGGAAATATTAACATACAAAATAAAAAGTGCCCCCGTTTTTATTACAAAAGGGTATTTATTTAAATTAGTGCCCAACTGCCATGGACACTGATGTGCAAAATAAGCATTATTCCTACAGCAGCAATCTGTGAGTAAGATGCCAAAAAGCCAGTCTTCCTAGTTTGGATACAGAAATTGGACAGTATGAATAGGAAAAAGAAACACCATGGAACTTGATTTCTGACCAATTTCTGCTAAACTGGGATCAGGTGTATTTCTAGCTTGATAGTTAAACTATGGCATGTTGAGTGAGTTTGGGTTTTTTTGAGTTGATAGATGCCAATGCATATTAATAATACATTTTAAAAAATTTAATTTCTTAAAACAACTTTTAATCTGGTGTGTAATTAGGGTGGTTTCTCTGCAAATATATTGCATAGCCTCAATAAAATGGAAGCCTCCAATACTTTAAAGCAGGAGTGGGCAAGCTGGACCCCCAAGAACAGAGCAGTTCCCCAGCTCATTTTCTGTGGCCTCTAGAGACCTCCCACCAACTAGAGATATTTTTTTAAAAAAATTAGATCCTATAATACAGGGGTGTCAAACTGCTGGCCCACGGGCCGGTTTCATCATACCGGAGCCGCGCCCACCCCATTGCCGGTAACGGCAAAAAAGCTCCGATACGTTGCGCGACGTCACGTTACGTCGCGTGTTTGACATGTCTGCTATAATAGATGAAGCACAGCAAAGAAGCCATACAAGACTAACTTCAAATATACAGAAAAGCCTATTTGTGTATGTGTGACAAATTCCTGTTCATTTGAAATTTCCCCAACTGAATATTTACTTTGCACAAACATAATTATCTGCACTCAATGTCTACTCTCAAGAGTTATGGTAATAACAGAATGTTAAAGATAAGGTATCCATACATGGAACATTGGTTCAATTCTGCTATGCATTTAGCACTCTGATCCTCCAGATGTTGCGAAACAACACTCAGTATCCCTCAATATCAGTATCCCTCAATATGCTAATTAGCTACTGGGAGATGTTCAGTGACATCTCAAAGGCTGCAGGTTCCTCACCTCTGCTTTAATTTGTTTTTCAATCAGTTCTGATTTTTGGGAATCTGATGGACATGTAATCAGAATTGTCAATGAATAACTGAACTTTTGACTTCTTGTTAAATCCTGTTGGTGTTATCAGAAAACATCTAGCCACCTTTTATTTGGTCATCCTCCTTTTTCAAGTGTCTCCCGGCTCTTCTTTGATGGCTCTTGCCTTCACATTACATATATACATATATTTTTTTTCTTCATTTAATATTTTTGACCCAGTTTTCACAGCTATGAAAGCCATGGCCTTCACAGTGCAGCTTGGTTAGCTACTACCCCAGCTAGTACCATCTGCAAGTACAATGGTAATAAATAAACAGTGATTGAAGAAAAAAATCATTTCCTAACCAATGCAGACATTATAACCTATTTCAAGAGCTGACTACAAAAGCCTTCAGAGTGAAACTGATTAAGGCCTGGTGAGTTTCAAGCAGCAGCTGCCAGAGGATTCTAATCAACCAATTAAGGTCAGGGAACTGAGCTGGTTAACTTGCCCTTGAAGCTGAAGTGAAAAGCAGCTCAGGAAGAGACAGCTTGTTTAAGTAATCTGTCTGCCCTGCAAGGCAGCAAAAAATGGGAGGAAAATGGGTCAGGCACAGGACCTTGTAGTAGCCAACTTTATTTGAGTGAGGCCACAGCAGCAACCCAAGACCTTCACACTGTCTCCAGCAGAATAATCACAGCAGCTGTAAACATACAGTATGTAAACTGCAACTCAAAAACTGGCGGAAGAGGGCTGATTTAGGAGAACAACAGAATACTATACAGGCAGCCCTTGACTTACAACCACAGCTGAACCCAACATTTCTGTTGCCAAGCAAGACAGTTGTTAAGTGAGTTTAGCCCCATTGTACAACCTTTTTTTGCCACGGTTGTTAAATGAATCACTGCCGTTAAATTCGTAACGCTATTGTTAAGTGAATCTGACTTGGTCATAACTCACTTTTTTCAATGCTGTTGTAACTTTGAATGGTCACTAAATGAACTGTTCTAAGTCGAGGACTTACCAGGATAAAATATTAGTACTGTAATATCTCTTTTCTTGGTTATTTTCTTATACACACTTAGACATATACAGATATGCATATGTTGATTTTGTGTCTAAAATACACTCAGACTAGTGGCAAATTAATTTTGTAACTGAACAAATAACATTAACACAAGGTTCAAGGGTGTAAAAGTGTAATTAATTAGTACAAGAAATGTAAGAGGATCTATGTTAGTTTACAAAAAAGAGGTTCACAACATGAATAAAATTGCAGATTCACCTTTATAGTACAGAATTGGCACTGATGAATCAACTACAAAATAGAGCAGACATTTTTACATGTTTTTGTAAAAATCAATCTCCTTCCAGATGTTTTGTTTAGAGATCTGAATTGCCCTGGCAATTTAGACTCCCTATCATTGTGGGTGGGGAAAAAACATAGCAGAAGTCATGGTTGCTCTATCAGCGTCCTTGCTGAGGAGTGTTCTCATCTTTGTCCAAACATGAATAATAAAGTGGGACAGGAAAGCAGGAACAAGGGGGAAAAATGATAAGGAATAAAAAAAATGAACTCCAATTAACCCCTCATCTATTCCACAAGTAAAGGCACTGTTTCTTATTGCCATTTGCATAATTTTCCCAGAGCCGTTATTGACAGAGATGAAATGTATATGCTGATGCAGGGATTATTCTGCTTGTTATGGGTGCCTGCCATTCAACCATTTGTCTTCGGACATACCATTTTCACATGTTTATGGGGAAAGCAATACACCAGCCTTCTTGTGAATGAGTGCCTTCAGATTCTGGACCTTCTGAGCATAATGGCTGCTCTGTTGAAGAGGCAGGTGTGGAAAAAGATTGAGAAAGATCTCTGAAGAGAAAAAGGAAAAACCACCAAGGGGAAAATCTGCTTGATTACTTTTATCAGGTCTGCAGAAGCAAACACCTCATTCCCCAGGGAGAGAAGACAGCTGGATCCTCCTGGTGGAATATTTTCCTAAGAGGGAAAAAAAGGGAAGAAAGAGCACCAACTATGAGTTGCTTGTATATCTACAGTTGAGGCTAGAAGGCCTCTCCTAGACTCTGCTAAGAGTCTAGAAGAGCAGAGTTCAAACTCTTGAATGTTGAATTGTGAATGTTGCCTTGAGTTCTTAGTTTGGGCTGCCTAGGCTCCAAAGTGTCTGCTTTTGTTTTCAAACCCTACCCTTGAACGTTGACAGGAGAATAAACTTCAGCAGACTCTCTAAACATTTGGCTAGCTCGGCGTTTGCTTCCAGTTATTTACTAGTCAGTTGCCAACTTTTATTTTTCTCCAAATAACACAGCTATTTTACAACTTTGCCATCCGATTCTTATTGCTGCTTTCATTTGGTACAGTTATTAGGCCCGTAATTACTTTATCCATATTGCTAATTTTGCTTCACCAAAATTCAAAGCCCTTTGCAAAGCGGTTGGAAATGTTCTTACTACTACCATCTATTTTAATCCAGTATGGCTAGTCTAATATTTGTGGTGAGCTGATATTGCTTGGACCAGATGACAACAAAAACAGAACAGCATATCACATATGCTGCTTTTCCATTAACCTGCATATGGAACTATTCTAAGCATATGCCAAGAATGACAGTATCATTTCTCTAGTAGTCATGATAGAAACCTCTGTGTGATGCTAGAAGGACAACTCTTCACTGACCATGATTAACACCCAAATCTCCCCATATGAGAACTGTAGCCAAGCATGCCTGGAGGGCACCTAGTTCAGAATAGTATAAAAATAACTGATAAACAAAGAATAATGATACTTGCATGTTAGTGAAAGAGAGCTCTGGAGTTTTATCTACTCATGCATAAATGAAGTAGGAGCTTTAGGATGGGAAAAGAATGGAATGCTGCCATAGTCTCCTCCCTTGATCCCATCTTTACAGTCTATATAAGCTCTCTAAAATGCCTTTTATGTATATGTCTTTAAAATATTCAAGGGGGAAAAAGGATTCTCATTCCTGCGCTGCTGTCTGAGAAAAAGTTGCATTTGTTTGGATTAATAGCTATCAAACACTGTTATGAGCAAAAGATCTACTTATGTGAATGCAGTGGGAGCTTAAAAAAAAAATCAACCTACAGCTACGGTGTAGCTCCTGATTCTGCAAGGAATTGCCAACATTTTGGAAGACAGACTCAAGATTCAGAAGGATCTTGACTTGGCAGGCTTGAATTCTGGGCCTTATCCCACAAGATGTAGTTCAATGGTGAGTAAAGTAAGGTCTTGCACTTAGGCAAGAAAAACCAGATGCATAGCTAGAGGATAGGCTGTACCTGGCACAGTAGTGCCTATGAGAGGGATCTCAGGTGTCCTGGTGAAGCTA